AGGACATTTCATTATTAGGACATTTCATTATTAGGACATTTCATTATTAGGACATTTCATTATTAGGACATTTCATTATTAGGACATTTCATTATTAGGGCATTTCATTATTAGGACATTTTATTATTAGGACATTTCATTGACAGGACATTTCTATGAATTACCCATCTATATTTTTTTATCTGTCTAAAAAATGTCCCAATCACTGGTACGACTTTATGACATCATAGCTCAATTAGTTTTAAATTTTTAAAACATATAAGATTTCAATTTTACATGCAACTTACATGCAACACCTTTCATTCCAAATTTTTTTTCAAAATTATGAGAGAGTCAAAAAAAAAAGAATGACGAAGGAGGGATAATATGACAAGAATAATCAAATTAGAATTGTTTTATTAACTGTACCCAATTTATAAAAATAAATTTTTTTTAAATAATAAATTGTTAAAAAATATTTCCAGTGAATAATACCTTTTCATTAAAGCAGAGTCCTGAGTACTCTCTGCCAAACTGGAATCTACATTTAAATAAAAAAGATTAAAACGGTTATCGTAGAAAGTTTGACCTGTCAAGGAACTTTGTTTTTGCCACAAACTCTGAATTCATAATTTTTATATACTTGCAACCCGATGTTGATATAGGTCTTTGATTTTTTAAACTAGAAATGCTGTTAGATCAAATAGTCTAAGTTTGAGATATCAAAGGTTTACATCGTCTGGTTGCAAAGATAATTGGAAAATTTGAGTCTGTGGTTGCTAGTTTATTAAAGTTAAGAAAATCAACTATTTTAAAATGAGAACAGATTTTTATCTTACGTGGACATATCTATTATTTTACAAATATGCAAAAGTAAAACCCAACTATTTCAACTTTTATCAAAAAAATCTTATTCGAATAGCCTCTCTAAACCAATCTTTTGATAATTGTAAAAAAAATAAATCAGAAATGTATATTTTCCTTTAATGTACAGAGTCATAAATTGAATATAACAAATAAAATAATTTTAAAGGGACAGTAAGCGTAACCCTCCATGGAATGCCCGAAGTACAACAGTACCCTTGAAAAATTAATCTATTTGAAAATGTGGAAGAAAACTTCGTTTTTCATGACTCTGGAAGGGTTTATTTCTGTGAATTTCTCCATTTTTTATTTTAACGAAGAACTGCGCAAGTCACTTTAACAGAGACCCACAAATAAAAATAAAAAGTTTTAAAAATGGATATCTCATTTATTCATGATCAGACGAAGCTTTAAAGGGTACCGTTGTGANCTCCCCCCCTGTATCCGCCCTAGCTCTATGGACAGGACTAGCCGGTGCAACAAGGTTGACGCGGTCAGACTTTATGCTTCATATAGGTTGAATTTACTTTTACCAAAGGGGCAGACTTGCCTGGTATTGAAGGGTCACTTGAAACTACGCAAACAATCCCTTTAAACCTTACTTTTTTACAACATTAACTTGTCCCCAGATCAGTTTATACCGGGAGTCTCGAACAACAATCTTAAAAAAAAAATTATTTTTCCTTTTTCTGTAAAATTAATTTATGAGCAAATGTATATTTTTATTCAGTATAAAAATATGGAATCCAATATACGACAGAAATTGACATCTTAAAGGGACTGTATGCGTAATTTCAAGTGAGCCCCCATCTGTAGAACGGCATGTCCGATTCATAATTGTACTCTTTAAACCTAATAATAATAATAATAATAGTTATATTAATAATCACCTAGGACTTTCAGAATTTCCATTTATTGCATCCCACTGATCTACCCCATCCAATCCTGTAGGGACCTTAGAATAGGAAGAAATCATTATCAATATAGTAATCCAACTCTTACAGAGATAAACAGAAAACTCCGTGATAGGAAGACGACTTTATAGAAATACTTAAGTGTATTTGATGTTGTTACAAAGCAAATAGTTTTAATATACACTAATTAAATCTCATCAAGTGAAATGGTCCTGTTTAGACTGAACAATTTCTGTGTCCCATCTTTATTGGACTAATTAAAGTCAAAACTTCAAACTAAAAGTCGTCTTCCTATTCCAGAGTTCTCTGGTTATCACTCTAAATCTGAAAAGATCAGATGATTATTCCGTTGACAGTTCTACTTCAAAAATAACTCCTGGCTACTGCAAACCAAGATGTGCGCGCACAGTTTCACAAAAATCAAGCAGTATTTTGCCAATTACTCTTTTTTAACTTCAGAGTTGCATTTTTAAGGTGTATTGTCACTCCTGTATGCCGAGTCCATTAGCACCTGATCCAATCAGGGTTCAGTCATGTGTTTGTTGTCTATTCTGAACCAATAGAAATTGCATGGTGGTACCATCTATCTTTCTATCTAGCTCATTATCCAATAAGAGATAAATCCTTATGTCGGCGCTATAACAGTAAATGGAAATATTTACTTTTACCAAAACTATAGTATTGTAATGTACATGTCTAGGCCCATATGAAAGTATACGTGAGTTGGTGAGGTTAAACCAAGGCGTTGCGAGACTTCAAATTCGAGGCTGACTTCAGTAGCCATACAAGGCTACTGCAAGAATAAACAACTATGAAGGTCAGGCGTTGAGGCTAAGCGTTTTTCTCTTTCCTCAAGACCTTAGCAAGGCCTCAGCAGGTCACTAAATATGCCAATCCTGATATTATAACAAAAACAAGAATCACCAAGACAAATTTTGGTCATTTTCTTCCTTTGATTGGAAATGTAAGAGCTTAAGTTTTCAATTTTTCACAAGAAAATCAAAGATTTTTTCCTTTTGCTGCCTAAGTGAAGTGTAAAAAATTTCTCATTATAGCTAAGAATGTTGAGTGATTGAACTTGTGACTACAAATCTTGAAAATACTGTTATCAACAAAATTTAGCAAGTGTATAGGAGACCGATAAAGTCAAATTTTGAAATAGTAAAAAAAGAATTTCACCTTCACTTGTGTGAGCCTAAGAAGGGTAGGGAACACATCAACCATATGCATGAGTCCATTATATCTGAACAAAAATTTATTGACAAATGTGCACTCGAAATTTTTATCTAATCAATAAAAGTGTTAAAAATTGATTATTTCCGGAGCAAGAAATTCATACTGCAAGCAGTTACTTAAAGCAGAAAAACCCCAAATAAACAATTTTTAAAAATAGATTTTTTATCTATACAAAAGGACAAAGTTTTTAAGGATACCGTTATGAACAAATATGGAAAAACTTTCACTGTCAACTAGGGTTTCCAACGCAAGTGGATTTTACTGTAAACTCCTCCCAATTCCGCATAATTCCGTACAATTGCGCTCAATTCGAGAACAGTCTGAGTTGTGATTGGAAACTTCACCGTCCACTTTATAGGTACAAAAATACTAGATCACATTTTGAAAATACGGAGACTAGAAGTTTTCTGTGTTAAATGTTTTAACTGAAATAGAACGAACTATAATTAAAATTAAATTTAAAGACAATTAAGGAGTTGCATTTAGTTCCCATGGTCATTTACTGTGCATAGTGTACACTGTACAGTGTACAGTGCAGTGTACAGTACAGTGTACAGTACAGTGTACAGTACAGTGTACAGTACAGTGTAAAGTACAGTGTAAAGTCCAGTGTACAGTACAGTGTACAATACAGTGTACAGTACAGTGTACAATACAGTGTACAGTACAGTGTACAGTACAGTGTACAGTACATTGTACAGTACATAGCGAGATGGATCATTAAGTAAAAAACATACCTAGACCCTTTGGCGGATTTGTTCAGCAAAGGACTATAAATAAATGCGGGAATCTAAAAATATAAAATCTTGAAAAGTATTTATATGCTTTTAGGATTAGTTTATTATATTTGTACCTTAGTTCCTCCTTCATACAATGTACCCTTAAACCCTCTCAGGGGAAAATTGTAATCTAAAATATCATGAAATTAGATTTTTTAGAATTAAGAAAGTTACTCCATAAAAAGACTTGTTTAGATGTGTTTATGTAACTTAGCTCTTAGAGACCCCAACTAGTCAAATATAGGGTCTTCCAAGGATTTAATGCAAGGAAAGTTATTTCAGAGTTTAACGCATTTTTTGTACTGCAGTGTACTGTCTTTGGGCGGTAATGTAAACACAATACGGTTGTCGAAGCCTGACATGGGCGATCATCTTTTACATTAAAAATCTATGAAATATTCTGGACATAGGAAACTATTATGTGAATTTCAAATTATCAAAATTAAATGCTTTAATCCTCCTCGGATACTAGACGAACACTGATGCATCTATTCTTGTTTACAAATTCCGCCCAGAGAGAACTGGTTTCAATATGTACGCAGAGCATACGCCACCGCAATTAACTTTCCTTACATTAGTACCTTGGTTATTAGTGACCCCATTTTAAAGTTATCACCAACTAGTTAAATATAGGGTCTTGAGGGTTTTAGATTCTAAAAAATCATTATATGGTGTAAATCTATGATGGTATAGTAACAGATTCACGTTGAACTGAAAATATTTCATGGAGGGCCTAAAATATCAAGTATTTCAAATCTCGCCTGAATCCACTATGTACTTTTGAGCATTTTTCTTTATACATAAGTTTACAATAAATTGTATATTTAGTCTTTTAGTACAAATAATATCAAAATTAAACTTATCTGAAGCTTCCTTAACTGGAGAAGAAAACATTTAAGTAACTGTTAAACTCTCAGATTTGAGTAAGATACAGCAGATTTTNGGGGGGGGGGGTGTAGGATTAACTTGTACCTTGTATTTCCTTATTCAAGTGTCCGGTAGCTCCGTTGTCTGATAGGAACACAATTACTGTATTCCTAAACTGACCTGTCCTCTTTAGAACAGTCACTATCTTTTACAATATATAATTCAGACTGATCAACGGACTGACTGCCATCTTCTTTCTATCTTTTTATCGGGAAATATCGCTATACAGTGATAACCAGAAAATTCTGAAATGAGGTCTTATGAGCATATGACACATTGACACAGCAATTGTGCAGTGTAACTGTAAACAAACCTATTTCACTAAAAGTAAAATTATTTGCTTTGTAACAAAATCAAATAAACTTAAATATTCCTGTAATGTCTTCTTCATATTCCATTGTTATCTGGTTATCACTATAGGATCTATGGAAATTGTAGTAAACCTGATGTAATAATTCTAATTACAAATAAAGTAATTGTAACTAGTAATAAAACAGTTGCTTGAAAGTTAAGCGACATTTTTATAAATAAAGTTAAGGAATTGAGTCTTTGCAACAAACCCTGATTTTCTAATCACAATATCTTTGGAGCCAAACGTTGTAGACCTTAGATATTTCAAACTATGAATTCTGTTAAATCAAATAATCAGAATTTGAAATATCAAAGGTTTACAACAACGGGTTCTAAAGATATTGGGGTTTAAATATTTGATTTTGTTACAAAGACTCAATTCCTTTGCAGGTAAGATTGATATCTTTCATGTTTTCAATAATAAATTCTCTTATTCAAGAGCTATTTTTTATATTATTGGATATACATTATTGGAATTTCTTATGTCAATTTATACGTTTACTACAGCGCAGAAACCCCGCTTTGCCTGAATACTGAGTTTTTTTTTCTACAAAAGTCGACCTTCTCTACTTAAAACTTTAAAGCCAAGCAAAGAATATTCCCATGGTTCTACCGAACTCACCAATCAAAGTTTGAGCTTTTTTACAACATTAACTTGT